TTATAAAAAAAAATTAGTCGATCTTTATCCTGAATATTACGATAAGTTAGGCAGTCAGTATAGTTCTAGAAAATTACATTTGCATTCTTCAGTGAGAACGATTGACCCACTTGGCTTACATTTTTCATATAAATGTAAATATATAACGTGCCTGCGTTCAAAACCCTAGCTGGAGGATCTTAAATTTTGTTACTGTACACTGTGAAGGGGTATTTAATTTTCTAACTTTGCACACATATTAAACAAGAAGTCTGTGAGGCAATACTCACTAGTAATCTGATGTGAATATACGCTCTCATGTGAACTGCAAAGAATAATTGTTGAGGAAATTTGATACAGACAGACGCACGAATAAACAAGAATTCGTACAAAAATGAATCCTAACATATGACATGCCTAAAGAAAGTGTGTGCTAAAATTTTAAGTATATGCGATGAGTAGTTGCTGAGAAAACTGCGACGAAAATTTGTTACCGACAGACAGACAAAAAGACAGACATACAGACACACAAGGGTAAAAAAGTATACCCCTTCTTCTCATTCGGAGCGGGGATATAATAACTTGTTGTATGTATAAATCATCGTACTGACCTGGAAAAACAACATTACAGTCAAACTTTGCTATCTCGACCTCCATGGGAACAAGAAAAAACCTCGAGACATCGGAGGATTCGAGATATTAGGGTTAAAATGCATAAAAAAAGAACTGGGGACTTCCATCTTACCTGGACATATCCATGGTATTAGAGATATCAATGTTCGAGATACCTATTAGTTTAATTGTATAATTGTTTTATTATTTGATTCAATGATTGAATAATACAAACTTGTTAAGCTAACATGCAACCTTTCTTGTTTACATTTGCTGAAGATAAAATAAAAATAACTATATAGTTGTATTAATTTGGAATTTCTGACTCTGTATTTTTAATACAATTTGAAAAAAATATCAGGCACGTTGCATTGATTTTGAAACCTGAGGGGAGAGGGTGGGGGTAAAAAAAATTTCTAAATTCCAAATTTTATTTCGTGTGAAGGGATGTGACGGTACATATTGTCGTTCTGTTCGTATTGTCGTCGGTGGCAATATGTACCTACCCACATTGCACATATTGTCGTCCATCGGTATACATATTATCGCCGGTGACAATTCCTTACTTTCCTTCTGCATAATGGACGATAAAGTTAATGTACAGTCAAGCATCGGCACATGCTGTCGTCGGCGACAATATGTACTGTGACCATTTGCAAATTTTGTCGCCGATAAATTATTTCATACAATTATTATTGTTGTTTTGAGTTCAATACGATGATTTAGCCACCTGAACCCGAAGGGCGAGATGAATATTGTACATCAAAGATGGCTAAATCATCGCATTGATCTCAAACAGCAATAATTGTTTTGATATATAATTCAATGATGAAATGATATAAAATCATTAAGCAGTTCATGCCATCTTACTTGTTACAAGCCAACTGCAATGAGAGAATCAGTGTTAAATAAACGTTACCAGTCGTATTAAATTGGATTTTTTGAAATCAACTCTAGTTGCTATGATAATAAAAGAAATAATGTCAGGCTCTTTGATAGGATCGATTTCGGCGGGGGGGAAGGGGGGGGGGCAATGGGGGAAAAAGTGTTGGGGGGGGGGGTCCCTTCCACCCCAAAACCATCCCCACCCCAAATTATATATTCCCTAATGTTATGCTCACCTGAGTGGAAGTCGGTAGCAAGTGAAATAGATTTCCAAAACTATTGGTATCGAGAACATAAATCCTTATATTCACCTGGAAAATCACATGCATGTGAATATAACGTAGTGTTTTTTTCTTCTTTGTTGAATCTCAGCCAATAGGAGATATGAATTATTCAATTGTGTAATCATAGCGAATATTTACTAGGGCCGTGAAGAGATTGACAAACACACTCACACAAACACGCACGGAGGGAGACAGACAGACAGTAGAATTACTCGCAATAATGAAGGGAGAAAATTTTGTGGCAAAAATTTTTTGTCAAGGATCGGTGTACACGACTATGATTTACAAAGATTTCAGAATTCCTGAATATTCTCTTTTGTCAGTTGTCATTATATAGAGTTTTTGAGTTCAGTAGTAATATGTATCTTGATAATATTTTTTGCTATTCTTATACATGTGCCAATGTAATTATGGATGGTGGTCGGGGGGGGGGGGGGGTTCCACATTTTAGCTCAGCTGAGCTGGAAGCTCAAGTGACTTTTTTAAATCACTCTTAGTGGAAAATAATCAAGAAAAGTCAAAGATATGGTAGAGTCATTAAAATCTTTTCAAGAACCACAAGACCAAAAAAAAAAAAAAAAAAGCTGAAACTTGTATGGAAGCTTCCTTACTTGGTGTAGATTTTAAAAGAACTGCAAAGCCATAATTAAGGAACCGTACTAAAGTGGAAAAATCCAATGGTAGAGACTAGAAATATTCATTTTTTATCAAATCACGTCCGCTGTATATAGGGTTGGGTCACAAAAGGCGATCAGAAATTTACATCCGAATACATGTACAGTGTATAGGGGGGATCTTAATGTAGAACAGCAGGCAAAGAGTTTCTCAGGTAACCCATGTGGCTCATGACCCTTTTGATTAAAAGTCTTCTCAATAAACCTGCTTCCATAGAAGCTACATGTATGTGATATTGGTTAAATCTTCAAAAGCATTGGATATCAATGTAAGTTAAATTAATAGTAGGATGCAATTAATTTCGATAGATATTTCAGACATTTTAAATTAAAGAGATATTTCATGTATGTACAACCTGTCTGCTAGCAAGCCTTCTTAACTTTCCTCATCATTTTCATCATCATTAGCATTATCTTAATATGTGCATTCAGGGTACTCAAATTATGTTGTATGCCTGCAATAAGATAGACCGACAGACGACAATATGTGGAGCTATGGAAGGTACATAAATGTCGCCGGTGACAATATTATACTGTATCAAAAAGGAAGATCAAAAAGCCTTTCCACGAACATTTTACATGTATACTTAACCGATAGTAGACATCGTTCAGAAAAAAGTGCCCCCCTTCCCTCTACGGGTGAAATAACTTTTCAGATCTAATTTTATCCATTAGGAAGTTCTCAATTTATTTTTTAGTCCAATGTAGACAAAATTCATGAGCTGCAACAACGTAGCCCTCTCCGATTTTTTTTTTTTTTTTTTTTTTTTTTTTTTTTAACATCAGATGAAAAATATTGAAGAGGGCTACATTATTTCAGCTAAAAATTCATATTTTCACCTGGAAAGTCACGTGCAGGTGAACTTAAAGTTCATGTTGTATTTTTTCTATAATGTTGGATCTCAGCCAATCAGAGAGTTAAGATTATTAATTCATATAATAATAGTGATGGCCTTTGCTTTCTTTCATACTATTTTTTCTTAATAATTCTTGTAATATGTTCCCTTTTTTCCAAGACAAATCTCCCACCCTTTTCTTTATAATTGATACATTTCAGCACACCAAAGTGCTTGCTGGGATCATGACAATTACAACTGTCATGGTAACATGACATTTACAATTAAAGTTAGTAGTTAAAATTATTTTCATATAAAAGAATTATAAGGCTTGTAACCTCACACTCATAACCAGATATCATTGAGATGGTGGCCATCTCAAAGGGCCCCGCTTTCAAAACCGAACATGAAAAGGTAAAGTAGCTGAAAAGAGTTTACTTTGAAGAGGAACATTTGTGTACTATTAAGGGATGTGTTGTTTGAGTCTAAAGGGCTTCTATGTCATCCTTGTTATAAAAAAAAATGGCATAAAGATCACGAGTGCTCCATACCCTCTATCAAAAGACAGCACACAAATCACTAATGTTGCATATCCTCTATGAAAATTGTTGCATATCCTCTATCAAAATATGGAAGGAAAATCACAAATGTTCCATACCCTAAGTCAGTTGGTAAAGTTTGAGGCTAACTGGACTCAAGGGAAAGAAATTATGCACCGAACAAAGATTTTAGACAGAGAGGCTATTTTTGACCTTGACCCTTGACCTAGAAACTTTGTTCAAGGTCACTGCACATCGATTGACCAGTGGCACTCTGCGAGTGAAGTATGAACCACATTGGACCAAGAGGAGAGAAGATATGCTCCGGACAAGGATTTTTCATATAATTCTGCTATGACCTTAACCTTAGACCCCTAGAAACATGGTTCAAGGTCACTGCACACCCTTTACCCAAAGACACTCTGTGGGTGAAGTATGAGCCAGATTGGGCCAAGGAGATAGAAGATATGCTGTGGACAAGAGATCTCGGACGGACGGACAGACAGACTGATTACTATAGGGCGCCCGCAGAGCGGAGCCCTAATTAATTAATAATGTCTGGCAACATGCAAGTAAAGAAATTCTGCTGAATATTTTAAAGTACTGTATATACTCCTTAAGGATACTATAATTTCATGAACCTTTCTCCTTCCACACAGGCCAACATTGATATTCGTGAATGCATAAAGTAAACAATTCAAGACAGTGACATGTTTTATTCCATTCTTTGCATAGTCATTTCATCGTGAAAACATTTGTACATACATGACTGTATAAAGATAAGGAATTATTTTCACTGACTGATTTAAAAATTCTTTAAATTCTCAATATATGAAAAAATATTCCTTTACAACTGTTTCTATCAAAGTGCTTAACATTAATGAACCTATTAAATGAATGCATTACTTATTGAATGATTATTTGATAAATTGCTCTATTTAACTTCTTTACTTATCTAAAGAAATATGCACTCTGATTTAACAAAAGTATATAAAGATTTATACACAACATAGTTTATATATATACCTTTCAAACACTAATTCCAAGACTTTCCCAAACTTTCTTCATCTTTAAATCAAGAAATATTTTTTTTTATTTCTCATGCTCCAATACATAAGTGTATACCAGTACAACACAAATAACAGAGACAAAAATATTGTTGGACAATCTTTTTTTTTGTAAATTGCTGCATTGTACTTTACACAGGTACAGTCCTTTTTCTTGCAATTTTAAGTATAATCATAAGCATTTAATGTCCAAACAATAAAAAGCTGTTTTGTTGGTGTTACACAAGATGTGATGGTTTTTTAACATTGCCCTTGCTCTACATGTATACATGATGGAGGAATTGTGATACAGGGAACACAGTTGGAACAAAAGTCATGCATGAACATGCATTTAATATAATTATTAGGCAAGAAAATCCATTTCCAGATCTGTGTTGTCGTTGACAACTTGACATAATATTCGAAACTCTTTGAACTTCTTTTCTTTTAATCAATGTCTTCATTTTTTCTTCCTATATATTGATTTTAATTTTTTGATGGTAGTGCTTTGGGTGTTGTTATGTAAAGATAAATCGGAAATAGGCAGTCCTCTTTTTTCCCCTGTTGTTTGATGTTTTTAGGTAATATCTGAAAAGAAAGCATTGGTCATGAGCATTTAAAGCAATGTAGGAAATATCAGCAAAAAATACAACTAATTGCCAATTTTTGTAATTGCACACCCCGCACCCGAGATGTAAATTGCATTTGGCAGTATTCTAAGTTTGTCAAATGGCACAGAGTATTTGTGAAATACCAACTACAAAATCATGATCTTAGTAGGCATTCAAATGATAAGCATATTAGAAACTTAAATATTATAAATCTCACAGAATGAAAAGACAACAAAGATGTCCATAGGACATGAATGCCCAGTCGCAGGTATATTAGTAATGCAACATTAAAAGAGCTATATAAATCCCCCCCCCCCCCTTAAATGTCATATTTTTAAAATTTCTTGAAATGTCCTGAATTGTATATATTGTATGAACTAGATGTGTCGAACGCCATGAATGCCTCTGCAGTTAATTTCTTAATTTTTTCTAAGTTCAAGAGAGATAACTTTGTCAAAAATCATCGGACCATGACCAAATTTGAACTTGACCTGTATTTTTTGGTAAAATACCTGCACATGCAATTTCAACCTTATATATACATCCCTACAAAAGTAAGAGAGTGGAAACTGAACATTTCTATTTTTTCTAAGTTCAAGAGGAATAACTCTGTCAAAAATCATCGGACCATAACCAAATTCGACCTTGACCTGCATTTATAAATATATCCATATGTCAAATTTGCGTTGAATGTGTGCAACTGTTGCAGAGATAATGAATGGGAAGTGAATGATGATGGAATGATGGAACATTATATTCCCCTGCCCATTTTATGGCGGGGGCAGAAAAATCAGAATTAACAAAAAATATCGTGGTTTCAAAGCAGGTCATTGGCAATTTTTGTTTCTAGGGCACCACAGATTATTTAGATTTTGTGTTATTTATCAGAAAGAGGACAAAATGTACACAATTTGTTCAATTTTTACTCTAAAATTTAACAAGAGGCCCAGGGGCCACATCGCTCACCTGAGCACTATGGCTAGGAAAAAGCAGAAATCACTTCAATCTTGAAAGGTTGAAAAGTTTAAATATAAAAGTGGTTGGGGGGGGGTGTCAGGAATTGAACAAATTTGAATCTACATTATCTGAGGATGCTTCCATTTAAATATGACCAATCATGGCTTTGCTGTTCTTGAGTAGAAGATTTTTAAAGATTTAACCTATGTATTCCTATGTAAAACTTTGATCACCCATTGTGGCCCCACCCGACCCACAGGGGTCATGTTTGAACAAACTTGAATGTACACTATCTAAGAATGCTTCCATATAAATATGACCAATCATGGCTTTGCTATTCTTAACAAATAGTTTTTTTAAAGATTTTTACTATGTGTTCCAATGTAAAACTTTGATGGCCCATTGTGGCCCCACCCGACTCCCGGGGGTCATGATTCGAGCACATTTGTATGTACACTATCTGAGGATGCTACCATATAAATATGACCAATCATGGCTTTGCTATTCTTAATAAATTGTTTTTTTTTTTTTTAGAATTTTTACTATGTGTTCCTATGTAAAACTTTGATCGCCCATTGTGGCCCCACCCGACCCCCGGGGGTCATGATTTGAACAAATTTGAATGTACACTATCTGAGGATGCTACCATATAAATATGACCAATCATGGCTTTGCTGTTCTTGAGAAGAAGATTTTTACTATGTGTTCCTATGTAAAACTTTGATCGCCCATTGTGGCCCCACCCGACCCCCGGGGGTCATGAGTTGAATAAATTTGAATGTACACTACCTGAGGATGCTTCCATGTAAATATGAGCAATCATGGCTTTGCTGTTCTTGAGAAGAAGATTTTTAAAGATTTTTCCTATATATTCCTATGTAAAACTTTGATCGCCCATTGTGGTCCCACCCGACCCCCGGGGGTCATGAGTTGAACAAACTTGAATCTACACTACCTGAGGATGCTACCATATAAATATGACCAATGATGGCTTTGTTGTTCTTGAGAAGAAGATTTTTAAAGATTTTTCCTATATATTCCTATGCAAAACTTTGATCGCCCATTGTGGCCCCACCCGACCCCCGGGGGTCATGATTTGAACAAATTTGAATCTACACTACCTGAGGATGCTTCCATGTAAATATGACCAATCATGGCTTTGCTGTTCTTGAGAAGAAGATTTTTAAAGATTTTTCCTATATATTCCTATGTAAAACTTTGATCGCCCATTGTGGCCCCACCCTACCACCGGGGGTCATGATTTGAACAAACTTGAATCTACACTACCTGAGGATGTTTCCAAGTAAATATGACCAATCATGGCTTTGCTGTTCTTGAGAAGAAGATTTTTGAAGATTTTTCCTATATATTCCTATGTAAAACTTTGATCACCCATTGTGGCCCCACCCGACCCCCGGGGGTCATGATTTGAACAAACTTGAATGTACACTATCTGAGGAAGCTTCCATATAAATATGACCAAGTATGGCTTTGCTGTTCTTGAGAAGAAGATTTTTAAAGATTTTTCCTGTATATTTCCTATGTAAAACTTTGATCGCCCATTGTGGCCCCACCCTACCCCCGGGGGTCATGATTTGAACAAACTTGAATCTACACTACCTGAGGATGCTTCCACATAAGTTTCATGTTTTCAAGCATAGTGGTTCTTGAGAAGAAGATTTTTTAATGATGCCATTAATTTTTCACGAATTCTTAATTATCTCCCCTTGGAAGAGGGCGTGGCCCTTCATTTGAACAAACTTGAATCCCCTTTACCCAAGGATACTTTGTGGCAAGTTTGATTGAAATTGGCCCAGTGGTTCTTGAGAAGAAGTCGAAAATGTGAAAAGTTTACAGACGGACAGACGGACAGACAGACGGACAGACGGACTACAGACAAAATGTGATCAGAAAAGCTCACTTGAGCCTTCGGCTCAGGTGAGCTAAAAAGTGCAAATCTGCTCCATAACAATATTAACATATTTCACTGATACAGTCCATTATCATTTTACAAAAGTTATGGAAAATTTGACTATAGGTCATCTTCCTGATGTCATATCTAACATATGATGTCATGGCTGATGAAAATATATCCCCCTGTTTTAGAACATAATTATGCATTTCTCTGTCAAAGTTTGATTTTGGGGGCAAATATCAATTGGTCATTATCAAATAGTAGTGTATGAATTTTGACTTTTACTCGACACTCAGGGCCAATGAGCTGTGAGGGATCTTTATAGTGCCAATGCCTGCCGTGACACGGGGCCTCAGTTTTTAAGGTCTCATCCAAAGGACCCACAACTTTCACTTCAAAGTGCTGATCACATGGCAAAGGAACAGTTGCTACCCATTTTTTTATCGACTTAGGTCAGTCGCAGCCGAGATTCGAACTCACGACCTCCCGATCACGGAGCGAGCACTCTACTGATTGAGCTACTGTGAATGGTCTTCAAAATTGAAATTGAAATCTAAAAAAAAAAAGATATAGTTGATAAATTCTCACCAAATTCTGTTTAAGTGTATAAGCTTATGTAGAAATATCTTAAATGCTTTCTTTCAAACTAAGCAAAATACAAATTTTAGAAAGTGAGGTCAAAGGAAAGGTTAAAGTAAAAAAAGGTTGATGCCCTTCAAAAGCTTACTTTATTTTGTATCAGCATATGAAGTTTGATAACACTGTCCAGAATGGTTTCTTAAAAACTGAGCTAAATACTAATTTAAGAAAAGTGAAGTCAAGGTCAAAGGAAATGTCAAGGTAAAAAAAAATGTTGATGCAGTTGAATAGCTCTCATCAGTATGTATCAGCATATGAAGTTTGGTAAAAATATCTTGAATAGTTTCTTTAAAACTGAGCTAAACACTAATTTAAGAAAAGTAAGTCAAGGTCAAAGGAAAGGTCATGATCATGAAATGTTGATGCAGTTGAATAGTTCTCCTCCGTGTGTATCAGCATATGAAGTTTGATAAAAAGATCCTGTCATAGTTTCTTTGAAACTGAGCTTTAAACTGTTCTAAATACAAAGCATAACGGAAGGACAGAAAGACGGAAGATAGACATGACAAACTCTATATGTTCTAACCATATTCATGTATTCTGATGCAATGTATTTAAAGACTCATCTATAAATGTCTTTATAGTACTGATACATGTCCCCCAAAAATGGCTAACCAGTAATCTGAAATGAAGAACTTTGCGATCTTGCTAAAAAAAATAACAATACAGTCAGGGTTTAACACTAAGGCACGTCAGACCAACTTGGTTAAATGAATGGTATGGTTGTGTGCAATGTATGTGAACTAGACCTTTTGGTCAGGTTGATAACTGTTAAATCCTTTTCAGTCTTTTGAATAAATATATACAAAATTGTAAAAAAAAAAAAAATTATCTTATTTGTACAAATGTAAGCACAACCTTTGCTCTGTATGTTGAAATCCCTTCATAACACAATTGTTATTTTTAGCAATAAATTTTTTTATAATATATATTTTTAGCTGTAGTAGACAAGTCTGGGTTGAAACGTATCAATTGATATGGTATAAATACTTACCAAGTAACACTTTCTGTATTTATTAATATTTAGGATAATCATTTTAGTAAAGTTTGTTGAATGTCTTTAAGGCTCATAATTTTCATGTCCCAATTAATGAACCAGACTCAAAATGGCTACTCTGTCAGAATCTTGACACGCATGAGAGATAGTTTCAAAAGTTACCAATTAAAATTAACAATTATAAGAAGTTTGGTCAGGGCAAGTGATTTTATGGTTAGTAATTCAAATTATGGAAGGTAGCCTGACATGTCTAGTACTTGTTAAAATAAATGTCAAACCTGATACTCAAACCCCGTTATCTCGAACTATCCATAGAACTGTGGAAAAACTTGGAGATATCGGGAAGATTCAAGATGTTAAGGGCAGTGCTCCAAGTCACACTTCCTACCAGGTCGCTAAATGACGACCTAAACTTTTTTTTGGTCGCCATTTCAGAACTTCTGGTCGCAATCAACAAATATTTCACTCGCCATTGTGAAAACATTTTGTGAAAACACATTTACATGTAGCATATAGTAAAAGCAAGGAACAACACTCATTTATGTACCTACGATGTCTTTTTAAAATTTATCAAAGATTACTTATTACTGTGACTTAATAATTTGCTAGGCTGAAGAAACCACTCATGAAATAGTAGTTCATAGAACCACCAGTATGGTTGTGCAATGAAGAACACAAGTGTTTTATCCTAGAATTAAAATTAATTCAAATGAAATTGTAGCAAGTTTGACTGATGCGTGCATAAGTTTGAACTATTCAGATCTGACTTCGTCAGCTGTTTGTTATGTTTATTTTATGAACCTATGTATTAAACAGTTGTTGTCCACATCACCAAAACATGATGATATTCAAGCTATATTAGCCAAATGCTCCATTAACAAGATCAGGTTTTAAAAAGAACACAACATTTTGACAGCCGTTCTGTTGACTGTACAGCATGCTGGCATATCATTACGTAATCTCAGTCTTTGCGACGCTTAACAAAGTTTTAGAAATGTCCTCAAACATTTTCTTGACAGAGAAGCTTGGGAAAAAAGTAATCTTGATCCCAATCATAAAAATTGACAATCGCCAGCCCAAATTTTCTCAGTCGCAATAATGCGAGTTAGTTTTAATTTCCAGTCGCAAATTTAAATTTTTGGTCGCAAATGCGACCATTTTAGTCGCAACTTGGAGCACTGAAGGGTAAAATACTTATTAAATATAATAAAAGATTGGGACTTAAAAATCACTGACATATCCACTGTATTCGAGATATCAGTATTCAAAATACCTATGTTTAACTGCAAAATCATGTATTCTGTAAATCAACTATTATTCCCGACAATTTTTATTCAGGATTCTTTACCCTGAAATCCATCTGCAACAGTAAGCATTAATTTTTCCAGTGAAGGAAACATTCTACCATAATACAATAGCTGTCACAACTTATGATTGGTTTGTGATGAGAAATATTTCTAGTAAGTAATGAAGGTTGCAAACATTGCAGATCTTTCTTGCAGGCAAGTTAAAGTTGATTTACAGTATATCATGTTTATATACTGAACTTTACAGGGTATAATAATCAAATCTTACCATTCAAAGTAATTTAATGTTTCCCTAAGTATGACATCTTCTTTCATCAACTGCCATCAGAAGTTCGAATACTTAAGCCAGTTCCAATGTCCTCCTTTGCAAACCCTGGTATTCCATGTGAACTGACATTGGGTCTCCATCTGATTCTTAGCCACTCCAATTCTCCCCATATCTTCAAAGAGAAAAAGAAGTCAACTCTACCTAAGATCAATAGCTTCCTTAAGCTGAAGTCTTCTTAAATAAAAGATGATCTAAAAGAGGTTTAATATACAACAATGCTCACGTGAGCCATTTCAGCTCTGCTGTTCTTCAGAAACTTTTTTATCTCCATGAAAAATTGTGACCTCATAATGTGACCCAACCTAGCTCCAATAACACTGCATCTTTGCTTGCTTTGTAACATACAAATTAATAATTAACAAGCACTCTGAGAGTATTGCATTAGCAATACTAGTCCTCTACCGCCAAGTGTAATCTGGTTCCCGTTAAGAATTGAAAATGCCATAATTCCGTCAAAAATCAAGGAAGCAGGACGAAATGCAAATTTGATCCACAACTTATCAAGGTAAAGTCACATAACAAAAATCAGTTCAATATCTGAAAGCGTTTAGAAGAAAATTGCGGAAAACCCTTAAAAATTGAAAAGGCCGTAATTCCGTCAAAATCAATGAAGCGGAACGAAATGCAAACTTATCTGTAATTCATCAAGATACACTCACATACCAAAAATCACTCAATATCTGCAAGCGTTTAGGAAAAAAGTACGGAAAACCAAGTGGGACAGACAGACAGAGGGACAGACAGACAGACAGACAGACGGACAGACTCAGAGGAAACCTAAAACCTATAGTCCCCTCCGGTTGCACCGGTAGGGGACCAATTACTAAAAAAAAAATTGCGGGGGGGGGGGGGACTACTTTAACACTTTCCACCACCATACATCCAATACATGTTTTTAAACCCAGAAAGACCAGCAGGGGGAACAACGTAAACATGTGGCATATTTCTCTCTTATATGTACAGTGGGGTATTTTTTGTGTGGAACGATTATTTTAGGGTTTTACAGATTTATTCCTATGGTACACCTGATAAATAAGTGTAATAAATATAATTTCTGAAAAAAAAGTCCAAGTCCTAAGGGAGGGGGGGTCCTATCCATAAGTACCTGTGGTGCTGATTTGTGGGGAATAATTTTCACTTTTTAGCCCTGTTGACTTGTGGGGAATATTTATCACTATTGACTTATGGGGAATATTTATCACTATTTATCATTGTTGACATGTGGGGAATATTTATCACTGTGGGCTTGTGGGGTATATTTATTATCATTGTTGACTTGTGGGGAATATTTATCATTTTTGACTCGTGAGGAATATTTATCACTGTCTACTGGCTTTTGGAGAAATGCATTATTTAACTTAACATTTATATTAAAAAGTGTAATAAATATAATTTCTGAAAAAAAGTCCAAGTCCTAAGGGAGGGGGGGTCCTATCCATAAGTACCTGTGCTGCTGACTTGTGGGGAATAATTTTCACTTTTTAGCCCTGTTGACTTGTGGGGAATATTTATCACTATTGACTTATGGGGAATATTTATCACTATTTATCATTGTTGACATGTGGGGAATATTTATCACTGTGGGCTTGTGGGGAATATTTATTATCATTGTTGACTTGTGGGGAATATTTATCATTTTTGACTCGTGAGGAATATTTATCACTGTCTACTGGCTTTTGGAGAAATGCATTATTTTACTTAACATTTACATTAAAAATACAAATTATTTTTTCAATAAATATCTACCAAATCTAAATTTAAAGAATCAATCATCATATAAATGTACTGAAACTAAATAATGTTCATAAGTCCTCTAAATCAAAGCACATTAAACATGTTTGATATGCTGCATATAGAGTTCCCTTAACTAGATTTTAATTTTTTCTTGCATAAAACTGTTTTCAATTCAGAGCTTATAAGTCAGTCTATGCGAAAGTTTTTTTGGACCACACTGGACATTCAGTCCTGTGTAATTTTTAATTAATGCAATGAATACAAAGGAAAAACCTCTTAAGTATAGGCCCAACAGCTTTTCTTTTACCAGGGATCGCTCCCACATAATTCTGTAGACAGTCCATGTGTCTTAATGATGTTTATTTATGCATTTGGAATTGTATATTTTCTACTTATAAAAAAAAAAAACATTGAAATGACTGCGTCGAAATAGTTAAGCTCAAAACCAAACTCTGAGACATCAGACATTCCGGTCCGGTGTAAAAATAACACATCAGGCCAGAGGCACTGTATCCAGGGATAGACATTAACTTTCAGATTCACTTGCCCTTTGGGCAAGTGATCTCAAACTTTGACTTGTCTCAATGCAAAACTTGGTTGCCCAAAATTAGGAAAGAACTTAATAAGCAAAAAATTAATTTCTGTAAACGTTATGATAAGAAAAAATGTGATCAAATATCAGTATATATACCAGTCAGTGAAAAAAAAAATGATGCTGCATTTGTACATAAATGTATACAACTGTACTTGTAAATTTAACCTTCTAACACACACTGCCATGCAGCAATAACCATTTCCTTTTAATTTCCTTATACATGTAATAAAATTCATATTTTAAAAAAATTATTTTCGGTTGGATCCTTTTGTGAATCGTGATTTTCAGAGATAACTCTGAAGCAAAGGAAGATACAAGTAGTTGCTACGAAACATAAATCTTATCTTGATCAGGATACATTATGTTACGCTGTACATATATTCTGTGCGTGAATAAATAATCTAATTTCCTAATAAGAAGTTAACAAAATATTGTTAGACGTAGAGCGTATTTACTACAAAGGAAAATAACGATCGAACCCGATTTTAAAATGAATGGTATAATCCAGAAACGCTACCAAGGAAACATTGTCAATCAGGTGCGTGGCGGAAATCAAGTGATCAATTTATTGTTTTATTAATAAATTAATGTAATCTAAATAAATATGTGCATTTGCATGAACAAAATCACTTGCTCGATCGGACAAGTACTTTGACAATTTCACTTGCCCAAACTGAGAATTTACTTGTCTCAGGCAATTGGACAACCATTAATGTCGATCCCTGGCACCAATTGATTACTCTCAATTATAATCAATCATTTATTAGTAGATATTGTAAAATTTTCTGATAATTCAATATTTATCAACATGGTTATATCTTCACAAAGAATTTTGGCTGAAGTAAGTCGGAGGTTAGAGTGATCTGTTCTGAATGAATCATGGTAATATTGTTACCCTCATCATTAACAACATATTTTGCAATGGGTAACATCATATAAATAGTGCTTATTTTTTAGGGTAAAACAAGAGGCCCCTGGACCACAATGCTAACCTGAGTAACTTTGGCCCCGCTGTTCTTCATCTGATTTCCCCCCTTGTAATACCTATTGTGGCCCCGCCCTACCCCAAGGGGTCATGATTTGAACAATTTAGAATCTTCCACATTAGTTTCAGCTTTTTGGTTCTTGAAAATAAGATTTTTAAAGATATTTTCTACATATTTCAATGTAAAACTTGGATTCCCTATTGTGGCCCCGCCCTATCCTAGGGGTCATGTATAATTTAGAATCTACACTACCCAAGGATGCTTCCACATAAGTTTCAGCTTTTCTGGCTAAGTGGTTCTTGAGAAGAAGATTTTTAAAGATATTTTCTACATATTTCAATGTAAAAATTGGATTCCCTATTGTGACCCCGCCCTACCCCTGGGGGTCATGATTTGAAGAATTTAGAATCTACCCTACCCCAGGATGCTTCCACATAAGTTTCGGCTTTTCTGGTTCAGTCGTTCTTGAGAAGTTTTTTTAATGACCCCACCCTATTTTTGTCTTTTCTTGATTATCTCCCCTTGAAAGGGGGCTTGGCCCTTTATTCTTATAATTTAAACTCCCCTTCACTCAAGAATGCTTTGTACCAATTTTGGTTAAAATTGGTCCAGTGGTTCATGAGAAGAAGTTGAAAATGTGAAAAGTTTACAGACTGACGGACAGACAGCTAGAGGGATGACGGACAATGGGTGATCAGAAAAGCTCACTTGAGCTTTCAGCTCAGGTGAGCTTAAATGACATACTGAGAGAAAAATATTTTCAACTGATGCATCAGTATGTACACTACAGTGTATTATACAGCTGAATGTCTGATTGATAAATAAAAAAAAAAATTCTACATCAGAATTAATTTAAAAAGGCATTTAAACACTCTGCATAGGTTTTTTATGCCAGTCCTATACCCCAAGGGATCATGATTGAAAAAAAAAACAAAAAAACTTGAGTCTACCTGAAGATGCAACCATATGAATATGACTAACCAAGGTTTTATTTTTCTTGAACAGTTAATTTTTATTTAAAGATTTTTCCTATGTTTTTCTATGTAAAACTTTGATCCAAAATTGTGGTCCCACTCAACCATTACACCTGGGGTTCATGATTTGAACAAACTTAAATCTGTGGCAGTGCTACCTGAGGATGCTCCCATATGAATATGACTACCCATGGTTTTGCTGTTCTCGAGAAGACGTTTAAAGATCTTTAGCTATATATTCCTCTGTAAAACTTTCATTTCCCATTGTGGTCCCGCTCTACAAAGGGGTCATGATTTGAGCAAAACTAAATCTAAGGGCAAGAGAAAGAAAAACCCCTGACCCTAGGGCCATGAAATTCATAATTTTGGAACTCAGGAAGAGGCACTTTGCTCATTTAAAGACAGACGATACATTCCTCAATAATATATAATTTTTTCTAAGATTTTGTCATTGAAGTATTGCTACTTTAACATGTTTACTCACAAAAAATTAAGGTACCTTACCAGGCATTTGTGCAAGATACCAGAGGATGTTTTTCCTATAAAGTCCTTTTGGAAAAACTCAATTAGCCAATAACACATTTTTTGGTCTTTCATTTTTTAAAGACAATTAGAAATCAGTTTAGAAATCAGAAGGTTATTAAAATTTTGAATATTTTCCACATAATTCGAAGGAATACCAAAACAGATATTTGAGGAATGTATCGTCTGACCTTAATAGTCTGTCTGTTTAATACCCAGGAGAAGAAAAGATTTTCAAAAATATTAAGGAATTTTCACTATATAAATTCAATAGACAACTCCATCTTCAAACATAAGAGCTGCTGACCCTGGAGCTACAAATTTGGCAGGGGTGGCAGATATAATGAAATTCACAATTTTTATTCCCCTTCATCATACTAGATATTGGTTGAAATTGGTTCATCAGTTCCAGAGAAGAAGCTAAAAATATTCAAATGTTAAAGAAGGATGGACAAAAGCAGATAGCAAATAGGTCAGTGAGTGACTTAGGTTTTCATTTGAAAAAAAGGGCTAAAATTAGCACAGAGTTAATTGGAGTTTCCTTTCAAGTAAGATCGATTGAAAACAAAAAAAGTGCATTTCAAAGACTGAATAACCATAAGGTCAGCAAATGAAGTCAGTGAATGTTTTTTTTTATGGTAATGGAAGCATAGATTTCAAAATGAGAACTTAAATGATAATTGTTTACTTATGATCTATTACTGTAATCTTGACTTACCAAAGCCTTCTGTCACCATACAGAAATCCAGACAGAATGCATTCAGTTATATACTTGTATCCTCCAATTCCATGCAGAGTTGTCTGTATACACACCTGCCTCTCAGTCTCCAACATTTTCAAGAATAAAGTCACCTTAAGTTTGCTCTTGTTGTGAAAACTCCAAAATCTGCAATAATAGTTTTGCTCTGCATTACACAATTTAATTGAATTTTTTTCATCAGTATATGTGTCTATTTTTACCCATGATTACAAGAAAAGTCTACATCACTCAACACCTGATTTTTGACCCCAATAGCAAATATAATTTGTTAGTGCTCTCAATACAACTGACCTTGTCTCGACACACAAGAACAGTTAAGAAATAAAATATAATACGTAATCTTTGCATCAACTTAGATAGTTTTAAAAGACATTTTGCTTTATCTGGAGGGGCGAGATCAAGTCCGACATCTGGGATTGAATCATTCATCTTTTTTGTACTGTTTAAACTTTTCACATTTTTTTAAAAAAAATACATGTACTGGTATAATTTAAAGATTGTGACCCCTTGAACTTTTGAGATTTCAACCTTTTCTAAAAAAAAAAAAATTTGAAATATTGTTCACTTCGATAACAAATAAAGTTGCAAGACTGGTGCAAATTTAAGTATCATGTACACAACAGGTCTTCCCGGTTCTTCTTTTTTTCTTCAATGAGTACCTATATGATGATCACCATCAATTTGAAAGCAATTGAGTTCATCAAAAGCAAACATTCCCATATCAAAAAATAATACATAAAAGTATATTTTTAATATATTTTTAATACAATCATTTTCGTATTGTTTAAAATTAATACAGAAAAAATATATTATTTTTGTATCACCAACAAATAGGTAGATTATTTTTGTATTAAAATCTGACTTTGATTTTTTTAAGGGTATTATTTTTGTATTTTTTGGGACTTAGATTATTTTCAGTATATCATTTTTGTATTTTTGTGGACTTAGTTTTTTTCAAGTGTATTTTTTCTGTATTAAAATTGAACTTAGTAATTTTACAGAAAATTACATACAGTTAGTTTGTATTATTTTTGTATTAAATTTGGACTTAATAATTTTTCAAAAAATACTATACAGTCAGTATGTATTTTTTTTATATTTATTTTGGACTTAGTGTTTTCTTTTACTGAAATTTGTATTTCTTTGAACTAAGGAAAATTTACAGAATGTCCTTGCAATAAGTCTGTTGGAATTAATATTTATAAAGGTTGCTTTTATATTATTTACATTTAATTGCTATTTAGAACAGAAAACTTCAGTAGTTTAAATTTGTTAACTAAACAATTTCATTTTTAAAACATGTCTTTACTAGGTGTGAAATTGTCATTTGGAAAGAGATAGATACGTCTGAGGGGACACCTGTGCTGTACATGATACTTGTAAACACGTGGTAAATTTTGAAGTTTCAGAGTTTCAGACTTTCTTTTTGTGTTGAAAAATTTACAGCGTGTTTACAACCGAGTGTTTACAACTATCGCCAACAGCACAGGTGGCCACCTGCAGGCTAACAATAGACGAGTATGTTATACTACTCAAAGAAATAACATGATTTACCCGTGAAAACACATCCCAACCAAAACAAAAACAAACAACATGGAGAGTTCCACTAATTACAGTACCTACGATGTTTTCTTGACTATACAACTCAATTTAGTATACATTATATTTAATTCATTACGTATTACAATTACATGGAATAGAACTATTTAATTATCCGCTTTTAAAAAAAATTAAATAAGAAATTATTACGAAAGAATTTCATAAAATAATATAGAAAATGTTGTGAAATTGGTGTAAAGGATAGTTGTTAAACATTATTTCAATCTCTGGTACCGTATGTATGAGTTAAGTTGTCCGTCAAAAAGGCTATATATTATGTATCTCCCGCTCGTTTTGATCATTATATTTGAACTTTATGGTCTACTTCACAGGTCAACTTGAATATAAAAATGGCTGCTCTCAGCGGAAATGATGACCGGAAATAACGATGTTTCGTAATCGGTAAATTCCGTAAGGAATAAAAAATGATTCTGATGATTAAATTGAACATCGTTTTTTCTAACATAATTTTAGGTTTATTCAATTGATTCAAGATATTTAAAACCATGTAAATATGTTTTCTCGAACTGTTCCGATCTCAACATCGGTAATTTTCGTATATATGACACAATATGATTGGTCAGATTTTAAAACTCTTCCGTGCTGTTCTCTGATTGGTCAACAATATTTCACCCACGCCATTTTGAAAATTCTTCCCGGGACGTGTTGAGAAAGCTGGAGGTGATTTTGAATAAACTCTCATTTGCTCGCGAGTAAAATGGATCGAAAAACAGAAGTTCAGCATAATCATGGTACACAGGATCATATATATGAACCAAGGAAAGTAAATACATAAGGAGACTGACGTTTTTAAGGCATCATATCCGGACTTTTCTGGTGTAAACAACGACAGTTGCGGTAAGATTATGTATATTTTGGCACATTAAAGTTTCAGTTTTTTAAATAATAACTTAGTACAAAGATAGAGGAACAAAGACTGACTTTTTTACCCATTTTGTAGTATTGTAGAAAGATAAAATAGTACGGTTATTGGCCATGTGGAGAACAAGGGTTTTTGTGATAAATTCTGATGAATTATGGATGTTTCGGGACCGCGATGTTTCGGGACCCCGACGTTTCGGGACCTGACAACACGTTTCGGGACTTGGGTTAACACGTTTCGGGACTTGGGCTAACACGTTTCGGGACTTCTAAATATTCTGTAAAGGAAATGAAATAAAACTTGTTTACTTGTGTTTTTATATTTATACATGTATAATTTCTCAGTTTGATACACAATTTATAATTTAAGAAGCACTGATTGGAGTTTTTATTAGTTTTAAAGTTTGCCTGCGGCATGGAGCACGCCTGCCGAGAAAATCAAACCCCGGGTGTTGTCTCTTTAATTTCTTATTACAGTATTTGATATATTACCTTTATAAAGTATTTGGTTAACATTTGACCAAAATTTAATTAATTTTTTTTTTAAATATGTATTTGATTTATTTATAGTGTTTGATACGAGAGTTTGTAGAATTAAAGCCGGGAGACAATCGTAACTGCTGTGTGAAGACCACGGACGTGTTTTTCTTTCTAAGACTTTCTTTCTCTCCTTTTTAATAAAAATTTTAGGTATTTGATTTCATATTTGTTTACAAAATTTACAAAGGCTCAAGCTAGCACATGTGCAGTAAAAACTTTACGTTTTACGGGTAGTTGTTTTGAATCAGAATCTGAAATATTCCATGTTCAACATTTTAAACATCAATGTATAAAATTTATAATTATTATTTCAGGTTATATATGCAACAAGATCATAAAAGCAAATTTATACAAAATGTTACGGGTAAGAGAAATGTTATAACTTAAGCTATAAACTTCCTACACATCCATGTATACGTTAAGCAGAGAAGGAAAAAAAACGAAATGGGTAAGAAAATCAGCATGTATTTGACTTTTCAAATATATATAACGTCAAAGAACAGCTTGTAAAGTAATTTTTACTGAAAGTATGATGTGTATATATATACCATGTATGCAACATTTGGAAATAAACCAAACTTACTAATTTTCAAAATATAAACACGTTTAACTTATTTTTCATCTTAACGTTTCAAAGTTAGACAATTTCTTCGTCTATGCAAAGTACATGTACTCGATAGCTTAAGAAAAATGATGAAAGTAATCGATTTTATTCATTTATTTTAATTAGAAAAAAAATATTCCCACCAAAGTCCCAAATATTCCCGCTATATATTATTGTACTATCAAAATTGTTAATTTGTCTACAATGATATGGATGTCTGAATTTATGTTTACTGTGTATACACAGACTACAAATCTCAATGAAACTCAATTATCGATCTTCTTATATACCCGACCAGTGCGTAATATTATATGTGGTGTTACATAGTTAGGTACATGACAAACTTTAAATAATACTGTAAATAAATACTAAATATTATTTAATTTGCAAATATTAAATTTTTCATGCTGTAAAAGTGTTTAAAAGACATTCCACATTGACTACGTTAACAGGTCAACTTAAATTTCAAATTTCCACCTTGCCACATTAAATAGATAAAGCTATGATGAAATTTAAAATGTTTTTAAAGACATTATTTGAAACGATATCAAATGAAATCATGTTGTTTATACCATTTAATGCTTTTTTTATAAGCATGGTATTTTTTTTAAATTTAGGGCCAATGTTCTCGCAACATTTGTAAAATATGTTTATTTACAATGTTTTGGAAACTTTAAAAATGTTTTCGTAACATTTCCAGGGAAGAATCTTACAGATACTATGCCAAAACTTTTTGGGGAAAAAATATTTGAAACCGTTTGGGAAAAGGTAGACAAAATCAAGATCAAAACATTTTGAAAACCTTTATATTTTGTTGAACTATTGTTTGATTCTGAGTTATTTCATTTACCAATAAACAAACGATATTTTTTCCATATTTTTAGATTTTTATTTTCTTAAAATAATTTCAAAAGAAACCACACAATCTTTTTAGTTCCCATTACCGGCGGCGTCTTTATACATGTACGTAACACCTCCCTATGTACAGAGTATCAGTTGAGATATGTGTACCTGATCCCAGTTGTTGTTTTAACAATTTACTGATATGTTTTTAAAAGATATATTCGACGGTAGCTGGAGATCACTTGAATATTTTAAAATATCTATCATCAACCTGAGAAGATTAAATTTTGCCCCCCCCCCCTCCCCATCACCACACACACAAGAAAAAATAACTAATAAAAAAAATGATAAAAAAATAAAAAGAAATAAAAATGAATATTGTAAAGATTTATTCTTCTTCGTCTGTTATGAATAAAACCCCATCAAAGTATATCTTTATGACAATTTTTATTATATATATACATAAAAATAAAATTCGGATATAGCTTGAAATATTACGTACTATATGTAATTAGAATAATATGCTATATCAACATAATAAAATAATTTGTTTAGATCCCGAAAAAAATTAACTCAAGTCCCGAATCGTCTTTACCCAAGTCCCGAACCGTCTTGTTGCTAGTCCCGAAACGTCGTATTAGTCAGGTCCCGAAACGTCGTGGTCCCGAAACATCGTGCACCCATTCTGATTGGGGAGGGAGGGGTGGAAGATGGGGGTAATTTTCAAACCTTTGGCTTCCTAGTTCTAATTCATTCCAATTTTTTCAATATACCAGAGACGAATTATTTATTTCCCTTCAAAAACTATTCTGTAATTTGTATAAACTCAAATTTTTTCGGGGGGGGTAGGTTGGGTTCGG